CAGAAGCGGTGAATGCTCCAACACTGGAAGTTTTTAAGAAGAGACTGGACAGCCATTTGTCCGAAATGGTATAGGGTTTCCTGCCTGAGCAGGGGGTTGGACTAGATGACCTTCAAGGTCCCTTCCAACTTTACTACTACTACTACTACTACTACTACTACTACTACTACTACTACTACTATTATTATTATTATTATTAATAATAATAATAATAATAATAATAATATTATTATTATTATTATTGTATGTACAGTAATTGGACACAAATTCATTACGGGCATAATCAACTAAAACTTCAGAATTCCAGGCAAAATGTCTAACCAGGATCAAAACTGGGATTATTGTTTCTAGCTCCATTGCAGTCTCTTGTTCCCCAATTTCATTTTCCCTGATTTGGCTGCCAAGCTGATTCTCGTTCAATGTGTTTCATTTTGACTAACCAACATTGGCTTGACCTTATTTCCATTTCATTGAGATTTGTGCTTCTTCTTCCTTACCCCTATATCTTCATCACATAGGGCAGGCCATGGGAGGAACTTTGAGTGCCTTGGCTTCAGTGGTGAATCTGGCAGCAGCATCGGAAGTCACAAACAGCACTCTGGCCTACTTCCTGATAGGGGACATCTTCATTGTGTTGTGCATTGTGATGTATCTGATTCTCCCCAAGCTGGAGTACGCCAGGTAACAACCACTGTCAGATTAGATCAATAATCAGCCTATGTTTAAGGTTGGGCTCTAACATACTTAGTGTCATGTGTCCGATTAACGAAACACTTAAAAGAACTTTCAGGCATTTTTTAACCTAAAAGCATTTATTAAGGTTACAGAGATGTCAGTACAACATGGTGGAATGCTTAGATCTGATTTTCTTTTCCATTGCACATACATTCCAGGCATTTTTCCCTCCCCTATTTTGGGGTCATGGTTCACATCTTCCAATTAACTTGGAAGATGTGATTCACTTCCGGTTCCTTTTTCCCGGGCTTTCCTTATTCTCCTCCCCTTTCACTGTTGCCTGATTTAACTATAAAAATACCAGACAGTTCTGCATATTGTCAAAGCAAGAATATACAGTATTTGCAGTGTTGACACTTAGCTCTGGATGTCACGAGGGTGTCTTTTCGTGAAAGCCCTTCCTATTATAGCTAGGGAAAATGTTAGGTTGTGCCTCTGCTGCTTCTTGTTTCTGTTTTCTCTCCCCGGGCTGATCAATGCAAGCTTGGAATGAAAATACATGATTTATTACAAGTTGTATTCTTTCTTTCTTCTTCCCTGGCCCAAGAACACCCAGACATACAATCTGGTATGGATACCGTGTCAATATAAAATGAACTCCAGTTTCGGTGTCACTTGTGTTCCTGATGGTGTGTGTAGCCACCAGTCTTAAAACTCTGGAGCACAGTCTGTCCAGGTCTTCTAACTGAACTGGGATTTGGCTTTTACAGATTGGCTGCTATCCTTCCCTGAGCAAGGAGAAGAACTTAGTCATCCTTAACTGATCTTGGAAGCTAAACACATTTAGTTCCGATTAGTATTTTGATAAAGAACCATAAAAGAATTCCACAGCTATGGGTTGAACTGGAAAGTTGGGGGGGGGGGAAATATGTCAAAAGGAATGGAAAACTACTTTTCAAGGCTGCCAAGGAAAGGATGTAGATGAAGTGCCAGGACTGGAGCTAGATTCAAGGATGACTTTTCTCTTTTTTCTTTTTTAATTATCCTTCTTGTTCCTATTGATTTATTTGCAATGTAACATGGTTGGCAGCTATTTCTTAAGGCCTCTTTCTTAGGGCTGTCCTGGCACATTTTCCAGCATTTAAAAATAACGCGTTCGTGATCTTTTATGCAATTGAACAACTCAATTGAATTTGACTATTCCCTCATCCATTGTTCTTCAGATCTTATAAATACCATGTTCCATAATTCATAATCAGTTTGCCCAAGAAGGTATTAATTTGAATTGAATTGTAGAAGTGACCAGATTAGACAGAACTGTTCTCTGAGCTGGTATGGGAAGCGTTTCAAACTTCCTCTGTAATTTGGTAAAGAGTCAACATTTTCTCATGGGTTAAGGTCCATGCAATGCATCCGTCAAAGTTGCATTCTTTAAATCTAATTTTCAGTAGCAGTGGACATGCTGTGAAAATAGTTCCCCAAAGTTGGGGTAGTCTTTTCCTAAATAAGTAACAGCTTGAAGAGTTTTCCCCTTCTCCTCCATGAAAAAAATAATTTTGTAACTTTGGAGAGACTTGGGAAGCGTCATCAAAGCTTCTGTAAAATACAGTTTTCTGCTTGGTCCAAGGAGCCAAATTAAACCAAATCCCAAACATGACAGTCCATTCTCTGCATGAAAACATCTAGCAAAGCAGAACCTCCCACCTCTCTGGTAATTAATTCCTTTGTTAAATTGTTCTTCCTGTTAGGTAGTTTTCTGTTGAATTCTGCCTTCCTGAAACATGTCATGTCTTCCATTCTGGGGTGATAGAGGTCTAGAATGGCTTTGGGGAACAGCCCTAGAGCTGCAGAATTTGTAAGTCACAAATATTGAGAACTGTGTCAACCTTCACAGCCACAGCCATCTTCACTTTGTTTTGGGTTGCCACAGCAATGGAAGGGGGGAGATGCATTCTTCTAGTTTAGTCATAGCAATAACTTTCTTGTGGGAACCAAGGTCAGGCTGCCTAAGTGTTTGGTGGGCTGAAGCTATCATTAGAGAGCCCGCCAACGTAGTTAATTGGGGATTGTGGTTTATGACACATACAGGGGTGGGGAGTTCAACTTTTACTTTGTAACCTTGAGGGGGGGGGGATTTTCAGTCTTGGTTTCACCTTTGTTTGTGCCGATACTATGTAGCCATTAAAAGTGTTCTTTGAGGAAAGCAAATGCCTCAGAGTTCTTATTTCTACTGGTCTCATCTATCAGAACCATGACATACTGGTTCAATAGCAGTAACTGCAGGAGGGAGTCCTAGTGGACAGCCACTTCAATATGAGCCAGCAGTGTGCTACAGCTACTAAAAAAGCCAACACAGTCCTAGGCTGCATTAATAGAGGGATAGAATCAAGATTGCATGAAATGTTAGTACTGTTTTATAAGACATTGGTGAGACCACACGTGGAATATTGCATCCCAGTTTTGGTCACCATGATATAAAAAAAGATGTTGAGACTCTGAAAAGAGGGCAAAGAAAAGCAACAAAGATGATTAGGGGATTGGAGGCTAAAACATATGAAGAAGGGTTGCAGGAACTGAGTGTGCCTAGTCTAATAAAGAGAAGGGTGACATGATAGCAGTGTTCCAGTATCTAAGAGGCTGTTACAAAGAAGGGGGGGAGAGGTCAACCTATTCTCCAAAGCACCAGAAGGCAAGACAAGAAACAATGGATGGAAACTAACCAAGGAGAGAAGCAACCTAGAACTAAGGAGGAGTTTCCTGACAGAACAATTTACCAGTGGAATAGCTTGCCTCCAGAAGTTGTGGGTGCTCCATTATTGGAGGTTTTTAAGAAGAGACTGGATAGCTATTTGTCTGAAATAATCTTGTGTCTCCTGCTTGAGCAGGGGATTGGACTATAAGACCTCCGAGGTCTCTTGCATACTCTGTTATTCTTCTATTAAAGAATCAGAAGCAACTGAATGACTGAACAAACAGCAACGTGAGCAAATGAGCTCCTTTCCATCTCCTAACTTTCCTATCTTGATTTCAGTTTTGATTTCTCTGTTGGCTTGCTTTTCTCTGACCTTTTTTTTCCCTCCCCCCCCTTCTCAGGTATTACACTGCAACGCTGTCACCAAATGCTTTACCCAGCAGTTACTTGGAGGAAGAGGATGTGGCAGCAGATAATCCCAGCCAGCTGTTGCCAAACAGAAACTATACTGATCAAATCCCTCCTCTGTGGCTCATCTTGAAGAAGATTGGCATGTTAGGTTTCTGTGTCCTCTACGTCTACTTCATCTCGGTCACCATTTTCCCTGCAATCTCATCCAGCATTGAGTCTGTGAACAAATTCTCAGGGAGCCCCTGGACAGATAAATACTTCACACCTATCACTAGTTTCCTTCTGTACAATTTTGCTGACTGGTGTGGGCGGCAGATCACCGCATGGGTCCAGGTTCCTGGACCACGAAGCAAGTGGCTACCAGCTATGATTTTGCTGAGAACTTGTTTCATCCCCCTCTTCATGTTATGCAACTATCAGCCTCGAACGCACATTGCAAAAGTCACCTTTGCCCATGACGTGTATCCAGTGGTGTTTATTGTGTCGCTAGGACTCAGCAATGGCTACCTGAGTACCTTGTCGATCATATATGGTCCCAAAGTCACTCCGAAGGAACTGTCAGAGGCAGCAGGAGTGTTGATGATGCTCTTCATGCAAGTGGGGTTAGCACTAGGATCGGGCTTCTCGGTTCTTGTTGTCCATCTCATATAGATGGGAGATTTCAAGCCTGGAACTTCACTACTACGAGGTCATTTTCAAAAAGACAGAGCAAACACTGGCCTACCAGTGGAGTATTCCATTATTTAGGAAGTGGTGTAGGCCAGGGGTCCTCAACCTTGGCAACTTTAAGACTTGTGGACTTCAACTCCCAGAATTTCTCAGCCAGCTTTGCTGGCTGAGGAATTCTAGGAGTTAAAGTCCACAAGTCTTAAAGTTGCCAAGGTTGAAGACCCCTGGTGTAGGCGTTCTGGCCTTTGGGTGTCCAAAAAAAGCTTGGAAATGCATCACAAAATGCAGAAGTGAAATTCCAATGTATTATTGAAGGTCTCACTTTTTTTTCATTTTTTGCAGATAGGGTTTTATTTTGATGGCAAGTAAATTTATTTAGCAATAGGACTCACATATCTTCACAGGTTTATGACATGGAAACTCTTGTGTTTTTCTACGGATGTGAAGGAATTACATTCTAGATTTTAAAGCTCTCATTAAAATCAGTCTTCTAAATTATTCAGAATAATAAAAGTTCATTTGAGGAACTCTGCAAAGAAATCAATAGCTTACTCTGTCTTCCAATACATGTTTTATATGACCTTAAGAGAAATATCCCTGTAATACAGTGTAGAATAAACATGTTAAAAATATAACAAATGCAGATCAGTCAAGTAGGATT